TGTGTTTTGTTGATGATTGGTGTCCCAATTCTTTCCATTTTGTTTGTTCTTATACCTTTTGCGGCAATTAAATAGCTGTCTGGAGAGAGAGATATAGAAATGTGTAACAGTGTAATAACTGTCTGTTATAAGTTGTTGGAAAAAACACATTGTTGTAATAAGTTCGAATCTTATATACTTATTTGCCTTGTAATTTCATGTTTTTTGGAAATTTGGATTAAAACAGTACGATGATGCATTATGAGGTTTCCGATATGTTTCTTATGTAATGTGTTCATCTTTGGTTCCCTAAAAGATAAGGAAATACAGAACGAAGAGAGTATATAATAACTTTATAAGACGACGGTCCCTCAAACTTTACGCGCTTTCTCTGTGAAAAATTGATAGCAATGTCAAAATCAAAGTGAATCGCTGAACTATAGTATAGAATGCAAATCATGGCTACGGAGGATTGTTGAACTGTTATTGCATTCCACGTATGTAACATCTTCAACTAAATGAAAGCGTTGAAGGCATTAGAAGTAAAAAATGAGGTGGATTCGCAAACATTTTCGATGGAACTGATTGTTCTTTTTCTAGTGAACGCGAAAGAGCTTAATAACAACCAGAGCATACAATAAAACCCATGATTTTCTATACTATTAAAACAGAAATTAGGATTCTTCCCTTGATTTAATAAAGAAAAATTATACTATTAAAACCCATGATTTTCTATACTATTAAAACCCATGATTTTGCATTTGGTTTAAAGTACAAATATATATATATATATATAAATTAATAGGCGCATAAATAATTCATTTTATAGTTTTCTATTCTTTTTATAGTTTTCTATACTATTAAAACAGAAATTAGGATTCTTCCCATGATTTAAAAAAAAAACAAATTACAATGCAATGCCATTGTCATTTAATTGTTAATTAGAAGTTTATTAATGTTCACAATTATTTACACCATACTTCCTTATATGACCAATATATTGTAAAACATTTTAAATACTTTAACAATGTATTGCTATTTTGGCATACTATTAGGTATTAGGCGCATCTGCACAGGATACATAATACAAAATTTATAATGTGGAGTACAGTTGGATTACATGTGACATCTCTACGGCTTTTATAGTTTAGTTGGATTACACATGCATTTTTTTTTTTTGCAATTTATTAGCTATACAATATATACTATTGATATACTATAATTATCACTATATCTAAATTGATATGAAACGTTCTAATACAAATGTATTTATATATCAGTGTTCATAGTTTAGACTATATCAAAACATTATTTTTTATATCAAAACATTCAATACCAAGTATTATATATGTGGTTCTTCGATTAAACAAAATATCCAAATTATTATAAGAAACAAATATTGAAATAATAAATTGAACGATTTTCAAATAAAAGGGTACTAATCAAAATATCCATCACACATGTTTAGAGGTCTTCCATGCTAGGCGGTATTAGATGTGGATTCACTGGAGCGCCAAAGAGGTCGGCGTTTTGGAAGAGGATGAGCTATTCATTTGGCTGAAGATGACACTTACGTGAAACACCTAGAGACACTTGGACATCCTCAGCAAACACTGTTATGCTCGGTACAAACTGGGCTTGGTAAGCCATACATGAATCAATAGAGAGAGAGAAGAGAGAGAAAAAAAAAATGTACCAACAAGGAAGCGAAAGCTAAAGGCGCTAACAACCTATATATTCAAACGGATTGCGATTATCTTTTTGTAAGATTCACATACATGATGTCAGCTCAATGAAAAGATAAAATTGCACTAAATAAACACATATTGGGCAGATGATTTCACCTTTTCAATATTTTACTCCTTTTATATATATCTCTTTTCTTCTGGTATTTGAGCAAATTTCACACTACATACTGAAAATGAATATGCATAATTTGATAAATTTAAAATTGTCACATCAATATATAACTTATGTGCCATTTTTCTTGAGAAAAAAAACTAAAAAGTAGTTGGTATGATTTCATGAATGATTTTCATTTGTCTATTTTAATTGGTGAGATAAATTCTCTCTAGCAAATTAGCAATAACTTTCTGATTGTATACATGCATAGGCCATTTGCCATAGCTGGTACAACCCACAATCCATGAAACTAGTGTGATTATTCAGTGAAAAATTAATTGTAACTATAATGACTATAAGTGTATAAAATTCTACTGCTATTAATGAACAATAATTTAATTGATTTTAATAAATATAAGTTCAAATATAATTATAGTTTGTTAATAAATCATTTTAGTTGTTTTTTTACTTTGTTTAACATTATTCTGTTTATTAAGTTCTAAATTCCATTATTTGTTAGTGTGATTAAATGTTACTAAATCCGTTTCACTTTATTTGTGGTTTAAATTTTTTCATACATATTAAAAAGTAATAAAATGTTCTATTTACTCCTAAATAAATTATTATTTTGTTTGTAGTTGATAATTATTGAAACAAGAGAATGAGGACTGAATTAGAAAATTTGAAAAACGTATGCACTGGAAATATAAATAACCTTATAGTTCCAGTACAAATGTATATATATGGTGACTTTATATAGTTTTTTTAAGTCATCTAAAAACTCTATTATAAGGTAACTAGGTGTTTTGCCCGCATTTGCGGGCATAATTCTCTTATGAATATTTATTAGTTGATGTTTTATTAATTTAAAAACCATCATAATCTATACTATTATTTTTTACTTAATTTAGATTTAAAAATAATTTGTATATCTTAATTTTAAATTTTATAATAGAAAAATATGTTTTCAAGATAACAATATAATGCATAAGTTATTTATTTTCTAAAAATATAATAGGATAATTTTTTTAATTATATAATATTATCGAAATTATGAAATATAGTTAAAATTACTTAAAATCATGGAGAACTTAATGAATCAGCAAATTCACTTCTTAAATAACTTTTCTTGAGCGATGATTTATATTTAATTAATAATAGATAATTTTTCTGTTTTACTTTTAAATTATATAATATAAATATATATTTTCAAGAGAACAACATAATACATAAGAATTACCTTATTTTATAAAATTATAATATTATTAGTGTAAACTTATTTCAATTATAGAATTACTATAACTTTTATATCTTAATTCTAATAGAAAAATATAATTTCAAGACATCAACTTAATAAGTAAGAATTATCTTATTTTCTAAGAATTTGATACTATTAATATAAATTTTTTATAAATATAAAATCATGGAAAATATGACAAATATGAAAAAATTATAGAAATTATGAGAAATTATCAAAATTATCTAAAATCATGGAAAATATGACAAATTAGCAAACATCAAATCCACTTCTTAAATAATAGTATAGATTTTTTAATTGTAAATTTTATAATAGAAAAATATATTTTCAAAATAACAGCATAATACATAAGAACTAACTTATTTTCTAATATATCATATTATTAATATAAATTAATATTATAATCAATAATCAAAAAAATTAGAGAAATTCTGATAAATAATCAAATTTACCTAGTATCATGGAGACAAATCAACAAATTCACTTTTCAAATAATTGTTTTGATGATTTATATTTAATTATTAATAATGTAATTTTTATATCTTATTTTTAAGTTTTATAATAGGAAAAATATATTTTCAACATAACAACATAATACATAAGAATTATTTTATTTTAGAAAAATATAAAAAATATTAATATAAATTCGTTTAAGCTATATAATAAATAAATAATTTTTATATCTTAATTTAAAATTTAATATTTATATATAAAAATATATATCAAGATAACAACATAATTCACAAGAATTATCTTATCTTCTAAAAATATGGTATATTCATATATATATTCGTTTTATTTATATATAAATTATATATAAATATTAAAAATATGATAAATAAACAAAATTACCTAAAATTATGGAGAACATGACAACTAATCAAATTTACTTCTTAAATAATATAATAGATGGGTTAAAATTACATATATTGACCAAGTGTCTTTTGTAATTTTATATAGTGTTTCTTTTCCCAAGAATCTGTAAAGCTTATTACAGATTCCTTCAAACGAATACCACTTATCCTTCTTCTTCTTCTTTTTTTTGTTTTCTCATTTCCCCCTATCTTGCTCTTATAATTTGTTTTTGGTTTGATTTAATGGTGATTGGCATCTGATGCTCTAGGTGTTGGAGAATCTATCAAGCATTTTAAATGAAGGCAGTGGACGTGGGCTGGCAAGAAAAATCATTGCAGTTATAAAAGCTGCTAACATACTGGGCCTTACATTTACCGAGGCATATCAAAAGCAGACCATAGAGTTGTTACGATTACTTTCTCTAAGAGCACAAGATTCCTTTGAGGAAGCAAGTCTCCTTGTCAAAACACATTCCATGCCCGCTGCTAGTATCGCTCAAATACTTGCAGAATCCTTTGTGAAGGTAAATTAGCTAAACTATCTTTCCACAATTCGTGTATCATAACTTTTGAGTTTTGACTTCGACTCTTGACAAAAATCTTTGTCGTATGGGTTTTATTTTGATTGATTACATGGAAAGCCCCTCCATCCATGACTTCTTCTTTCCCTCTTAACTATTTTCTGTTCTCCATGTGCCAGGGTTTACTGGCAGCTCCACGTGCTGAACTATGAAAAATTGATTGCAATGTCATAATCAGAGTGAATCGCTGAACTATAGTATCGAATGCAAATCATGGCTACGGAGGCTGGTTGAACTGTTTGTTGCATTGCACGTTTCTAACATCTTCAACTAATAAATAAAAGATCTATGAAGCCATTAGAAGAAAAAAAAAAGAGCTTGATTCGCAAACACTTTTGATGGAACTGATTCTTCTTTTTCTAGTGAACGCGAAATAGCTTAATAACAAAGATGCAACACAGCTCAAATTAAATTTAAGACAGCTTATTAATACTACTCTCGAGCTATGTTTTTTGCAACATAAACTTAAAAACAACCTTGAACATTTCAAGGTCTCTTACTGACTGAAACCCTAAAGCCATGCTTCATGCTAAGAATTAAATGAGGACCAGGTTCAATTATCTGCCTTTCATCAACCTTAAACTCAAAGTTTTGTAATATCTCCACAACCACTTCCTTCATTAGAACCATAGCTATTTTCTTACCAAGAACTTGAAGGAAGGCTCATGTCTCAACATTCCGGTCTCAGTTATCCATCTTTCTGGCTTGAACTCCGATGCATCTTCTCCCCACACGGCTTTCATCCTACCCAATGCATAAATTAAGATGATAATCTTCGAGTTTGCTTCCACTTTATGCCCACTTGGAAGCACATCTGATCGAACGGGAGACACACGTTCGATAGGAACCGGTGGATAGAGCCTCATTGTTTCACACAACGCTGCATGTGTCCACCTCTTGGCGAATCTTGTTCAACACGTTAGGGTTTTCGGACAGAAGCCAAAAGAACTTAGTGAGAACTGAGGCAATGGTATCTCTCCCAGCTAGAATGAAAGTTAAGATAGTGTCTCTTAGGAACTTATCATCGATAGAGCTCAAGAGCTTTTACTTGGTTGCATCAAGCTTCAAATGAGATGTCAAAAGATCTTCGCTCTCGTGATTAATCCCCTTTGCTATCTCTTCTCTCTTGGCTGATATGTATTTCTCACACACACGATCAAAAGTGGCACCAGCTTCTATCATCTTCTTCTCTGTTCCAACTCCAAACAAGTTTTGTAGCTTCCACAAGAGCCTAGGTTTAAGATGTCTATACAAAATCCCTTCTCCTATATCGTGAAGAGCTTTAGCACTTTCAACTTCAGGCATTTCAAAGGAGAGAGATAGAGGATCGTCACAACCAGTTACTGAAACTAGGGTTGTGTCAAACATGAACCTCCCCAACACATCTTGCAAGTCCACGGTTGTGCCTTCCTCAGCAAAACGGTTAAGAAGAGGAACAAGCCCGTCCTTGAGTTTACTTATAGTAGTACTCACCGACAACTTTTGAAACCCATGATGATACATCATGACCTGAGAAGCTTTCCTCAGATTCTTCCATGCTTCTGACTCCGTTGTCAGTATCGAATCTCTGAAAGCATCGAAGACTTCTTTGAAGTCGGTACCCTTGGTGTAGTTGTGGAAGTTTGAGCTTAACATGTAGTGAATGTTAGCTGGATCTACCGTGAGCAACATATCCATGCCAGAAAACCACGGTCCTTTGAATGGGAATGTTAAGTTGGTGCTTTCAAGAACCTCCACGGTGAAGTCGTAGATACGGTAAAGCTCCACGAGGAGACCTGGAAGCATCCCCAGAACCGGCCAGTTTCTAAGCAAACGGTGGTGGTGTTTCTTGAAAAGCAAGCAATGAAGGAAGGTAAAGCAAAAGATGGCCATGAAAATTTGAGTTGAGCTTATTGAAGCCATGAGATAATTAAGAAAGTTTGATTGATTACAGAGATAATCAATATTGTGATGGGATCTTTGAGTGCACAAGAAACTTGGTCTATATACACGTTACGAAGCACAATAATGCATGCTCTAGTGAATAATACCATAATTACCCCAGCACAGTTTAACTGCATCACTGCATTATATGTGGGTCTCACGATTTTCCCTAATGAAAACATATAAAATATAGTCTACTCTTCTCTTTAGGTCAGAGATTATGACCCAACATCCTTCTGTTTACACGTGATTTTTTTTTTGTTTCAATACTGTTTAGGTAATCATTTTCATTTTTAAAAATGCAATCCAAAAGTGCTTACGTTTAGAGTTACACATAACATACTAAAGAGTTATGCTTCAAAAATGAGTTACAATCCAAAAGTGCTTACGTTTGTTAATGTTAAATTAGGTTCCAAAAATGAATATATGCACCAAACGTGAAAAGCGCAAATGCAAACAAATGATGAAAAGTTTAATCTTAATATATTACGAAGTTTGACGAGAGATAAACTGACGACTAAAACTCATTTTCCCATTTTCCAACTAGGCCAAGGTTTTGTAAAAACTTTGGTAGTTCGAGTGGAGATTGAGAGAAAGGGTCACTCACTAATTTATAACTTCACATTTGACTGATTCTCTTAGTTTTACGTACTTTCAATCATTCTTTTGTAAATTTTGCCACTTGCATGAAAAACTATCGGCGGCATGGCATGTAAAAAGATATACCAGGTTACAATCATTTATGAAAACAAATAACTAAAAATATAAACGACGGGACGAGTCGAGTAGTGCATCAGAGAACCCTCAGGTCAGTCAGTGACTCACTGCAATGCATGTGGTTTTACTGTTTTTTTTGTTTTTTTTTTCAACTATATTTCAATATATAATAACAAGCGCAATGATCATTCTTCAAAATAGATAACATTTGATTATAATTATTACAGTGCTTTATTTCATTGTTACTAGAATACAAAAGGTTTTATTATAAGAAACTCCATATATATATATATATATATATATATATATATATATATATATATATATTTTTCTTTTAAATAAAAACTCCATATATTTTGTGATAGATATTAATACATCGGAAAGTAAGGGAACGACTTAACATTAATTTCAAGCTGAATATCTCTTAGTAATTGTGACTCTAAGCCCATGTTTCATGTACAATATAAGACCAGGATCTGGCTCAATCTTCTGTCCTTTGATAACCTTAATATCATAGTTTTGTATTATCTCCACGGCCACTGTCTTCATTAGAGTCAAAGCTAATTGCTTACCAGGACATGTTCTTGCACCGGCGTTAAACGTTAAAAACTTGAAGGAAGGCTCATGTCTCAAGCATCCTGATTGCGAAACCCATCTCTCTGGCTTGAACTCCATTGCATCGTCTCCCCAAACCGCTCTCATCCTTCCCAACGCGTAAAGAAAGATCATGATCGTTGAGTTTGCGTCCACTTTATCCCCACTTGGAAGCAAGTCTGGTTTTATAGGTGACTTGCGTTGGAAGGGAACAGGTGGATAAAGCCTCATTGATTCGTACAATGCAGCTTGTAGATACACCAACTTGTCCTGGCCATGAAGATTTATGTTAGTGATCTCTTGGCGAATCTTGGTTATCACTCGAGGGTTTTCAGATAAAAGCCAGAAGAACCAAGAGAGAGCAGAAGCCATTGTGTCTCTCCCAGCTAGATTGAAAGCCAAGATGGTGTCTCTAAGGAACTTATCATCACTCGGTTTCAAGAGCTCGTACTTACTTGTATCAAGCTTCATGTGAGATGTCAAAAGATCCTCATGTTGAGGATCAGTAGCACCTTGTGCTCGTACCTCGTTTCTCTTAGCTAATATGTATTTGGCTGAAACACGATCAAAAGTGGCATCAGCTTCCATCATCCTCTTCTCTTGTCCAAACCCTATCCACTTTTGCAGCTTCCACAAGAACTTTGGCATAATATGCCTATGCACAATCCCTTCTCCAAGATCGTCAAGAGCTTTAGCATACTCATCTTCAGGCATTCCAATAGAAAGAGTTTTGGGATCAAACCCGGTTACAAGAACAAAAGTCGTATCAAACGTGAAACGTTGGAACACGTTTTGCAAATCAACGACCATCTCCTCCTTTGAAAAACGATCGAAAAGAGGAACAAGACCGTCGTCGAGTTTAGTTCTTGTTGCACTCATGGAAAACTTTTGAAACCCTTGGTGGTTAAGCATATATTGAGCAGCTCTTCTTTGATTCTTCCACAGCTCTCCGTCCGAGTTAAAGATCATTTCTCCGAAAACATCAAAGACCTCTTTGAAGTCAGCTCCTTTGGTGTAGTTGGAGAAGTTTGAGCTTAGCATGTAGTGGATATTAGCTGGATCAACGGTGACTAATATATCCATTCCAGTGAACCATGGTCCCTTGAATGGGAACGTTAAGTTGGTGCTCTCGAGAACTTCCACGCTAAAGTCGTAGATGCGGTGGAGCACCATGAGGAATCCAGGAAGCATCCCGAGAACTGGCCAGTTTTTAAGGAAGCGGTCATGAGGTTTCTTGAAGAGCAAGTGATGGAAGATGAGAAAACAAAAGATGGCTACGGAAGCTTCAAGCAGGCTTAGTGTAGCCATCAGATAATGTTAAGGAGCTCTAAATACACAATTGTGATGGTTTTCTTTAATTTATAGAGAGCACAGTGATCTTGACACTATTGGTTTGTTTTGAAATATACTTTTGGGTACCCATTACAGGTTCTCGTAATTATTGGATGATGTGGACATTAGATATGACTGCTCTCCAACCGTGCCCATCCCATTCACGTATATGTTAATGTCCCGATACTAATTACATAGTGTCGGTGCTAATTACTTACTAACCACAAAATTTGTGGACAATATCTAAAGGGTCCAGAATCTGAGAATAAACAAACAGATAGAAGCATACTCTTTATCAGTCTCGCATTTAAAAGAAAAAAAGGATACGATAGACCAAGTGCATCAAAAAGATCACTGGTCCTAGTCACAGACTCACAGCAATTGAGCTCGTTTTGTAATAAGTTTTCTCTTCAAATGATCTGAGTTTTTTCGAATTTTAAAGTGTTTAAATTTCCATTTAAATGTCAACCAATTCAGTCACTACACTGCATTGATTGACCAATAAGATTAAATTCAAAACTAACCAAGTTGCATACATAAAAACAAGGACGATATATAGCCAAAGCCAATGTCTGATTTTTTTTTTTGTTTTTTTTTAATTTGAAGGTCTTCTAACAAAATGTTCATCACATGACATGCTATCATTGGGAAGAGATAAGATTATCCAACAAGACAGACAAAAGAAAAGTGAAGACAAAGCTTGTTTGAACTGATATAATAATACACAGATAGGAGTCCAAAAAGATAAGCTGAGAATCCAAGAGAGGATCCTAACCTTCTTCCACGTGTATAGATAGATCACATTATCGCTGGCTTTGGTCTCTTGCCTTCTCCACGAACCGGGAAATTTATATCTTTTTAACGATCTGAACAACATCCTCGTCCTCGAGCTCGTGTTCCTAAAGTGTTAGAGACGACGGTAGTAGATCGTTAGTTAGATATTTTGCAATTTCTTAGTCGGCTTGACAAAACAAGGCTAAACTAAAAATAGTAACTATGTAACTCTAGGCAACTTGAATTTTTGCAAGCAAACTCACCCTTCCAACTCTCTGTGGCTTATGTTTTGCACTCGAACCCCATACTAAAGCGCTGCAATGGAAAGAATCATTAGTACACTCATCAAGTAAGAGAATATTAAACAGAGAAACAAAAGAAAAGTAGGTTTTATTTACTTACTACTTGAATTGTTTAAGCATGTCTTTGTGAATCCGAATGCAGAAGTCCTCAACAGTTCTCTTCTTGGAAGATAAGATGACGGGGTCATCATAATCCGGATTCATTGCCTTTGGTTTGGTGTAGATTCTAGTTAGATCCAAGTATTCCCATATCTTATCGAGCAGACCATCAAGATTCCATTCCAGATGCGCACTACAAGATTAATACATTTCAATGAGAACAGGAGGACAATTTGATTGTGAAATCATTTAATAATATTTTACCTGACAGGACAGTAATGGGGAAGTCTGTCCAAAATTTCAAGTTCCTCGAGAGTGATTTGATCGATCTTGTTGACGGCATAGATACAGGGCATGTAGATCCGACTACCCTCGATGACATCTATGAGGTCATCAGCAGTTGCATCGTAGCGCAGAGTGATGTCAGCGTTGTGCATCCTGTACTCACTGCATATGGCCTTGACAGTTTCGAGGTCAAGGTGTGTGGCGGTCACTGTAGAAGTTAGATTGATACCACCTTTGTCTTTTTTCCTGAATGTCAGATTAGGTGGCTCCTTGTTCAACCTATATAATAATAATAGCATATTAGTCCGTGATGGATGGTATCAGAATTTCGACCAGAATTCATAAAAGAGAAATGGGTTATATATCAGATATACCTAATTCCGAATCCTTCAAGCTCCTTTTCAATGAGACGCTTGTGAGTGATTGGCTTTATGGCATCAAGAACTATTATGATGCAGTTGCAAGTCCTAGCAGTACTTATAACCTGGAAAACAGATAAGGAGTCAAACACGGACCAACGAGTCAGATACACATTCTGAAATTACCAGAGGTTTGTGCACGACTTACCTGTCGTCCTCTACCTTTTCCGTCTTTGGCACCCTCAATAATACCAGGAAGATCTAATAACTGCATGCCATTAACGAGGACATAAAAAAGAGTATCATCAACATCCAGTGAACAATTACAAACTATTACAAGATCAGGAATTACAGGGGAACATAGAGTGAGGACTTAAGAGAAGAACATCAAAGGGTAGGAGATGTCACATATAAAGCCAAGTATTTCATTGTCCTAAAAAAACTTCCAAGTCGTACTTAAAAAAAATAAGAAGCAACCAAAACAAACATCTCTCTCCACAAAAACATAGATTGACCAAGGAGGCATAGAAGTAGATAGCTTTACCTGAATTTTAGCTCCACGGTATGTAATAACACCGGGAATGCATGTCAATGTTGTGAACTCATATGAAGCAACCTGAAGAAGAAGAAAAAGAGTGAGTACCTTCAGAAAGTAGAGCATCAGGCAAAATAATGCACAAGAAATAGGTCAAATAAACTAGATAGCAAATGACTTGGAAGTTTCAAACTTGTAGATACAAAAGCGATCTAACATTTGACAAAAACTAAACTAGGAAAAGGCTAGTTGAAAAGAAGAAGAAGTAGAAACCTCGGAAAAGGTTCCAGTGAGCTTGTTCAAGAGGGTGGATTTGCCAACGGAAGGGAAGCCAACAAGACCAACTCTAGAATCTCCACTTTTGGTGACATCAAAACCTTCGCCAGCAGCAGCACCACCGCCTTTAGTAGGTGGGGCAAGAAGGTCCCTTCGTAGCTTGGCAAGTTTGGCCTGCGCAAATGGACCAATCAGAGACAAGCAAAATGGAGCGGGAGAAAAAAAAAGTACTAGAAAGCCTAACATATCCATTCTGCCTGGTACAACATGTATCCATTGAAGCTTTTAGCTATCATTTAATACTCTTAAGGTCGATGAAATGATATTTTGCAGTTTGCAATGTGCTATTTGGTAACTTTATGATTGATCCAAGGAAGAAACTTTACAATCAAGAGACTATCTATGCCCATATATCAAAATCAATCCTCCATATACTCAGTGGTAGCGAAATAGATATAAATCAATCAAGCTTCCCAATTTTCATTTGATCCATTCAAAGTATGAAACAGTTTTAGAGGAGAAGAGGGGCCCTTACCTTTAACAAACCGAGATGATGAGAGGTGGCTTTGTTCTTCTGAGTCTTAGCCATCTACCCCCAACAGACACAGCAATCAGCCACTTTTATTAATTTAAAAATAGAATCAGAGAATCAATCCTTAAAGATTTGAGAAAAAAGAAAAGAAAGTTAACCTCATCTTCGATTTCTTTGATCTTCTGCATAATAGTCGACATGGTTGCAGTTAAAGCTCTGAGAGAGAGAGAGAGCTCACGGAGGCAGCGTCGAGTGAAAAAGGCAGAGAGAAAAGAACACTGCGAATGAATCAGACAGAAACCGAGGGTTTTCGTTTCGCCAACCTTCTCCTGGTTAGTTACGACAGTGAAAGACATATATCTCCGAAGTGTCTAGAAATGGGCCTGGTCCAACATCATCCTCTCGGCCCAAATAATGATGTCCAGTTTAATTGAATAGATTGAGAGACCCCTTTCTTTACCACTGGTTTGATGTTTTTAATTGTGCTTTGTATCCAATTTCAAATTGATTTTACATTATAATAACATACTCTGTACCGTTTACAACTTCGCCCCTCAAAACCAATTTTCTAAAAAGAAACGGTTTAGTTGATAAGAAGATATTCACTAGTCAGAGCTGAACTTGGGTTTACAACATCCTTTGGGTTTGAACCGAACTCAAGTAAGTATGAGTGAGAAGAACAGTGACGACCGTTGAGAAACAAAACAATTCCCTGAATCAACATTCTGTCGTTTCTATTCTAACTAACAACGGCATAAGGTTATGCTCCCTACAAGTCCCATTTATTTTAATTGTTTGTGTTATTAGTAGGATGAGTTAAGTTTGGTTGGTTGGTCGCAAAACCAGAACCATAGATTTTATGGACCCTACCCGATCATTTTAGTGGGCCATCTCTCACGACCATATACTTGTGTTGTGGTCAGAATGAGAATTTTAAATCCCACGTCTAACCTACCAAAATACATTTTTCCACATATATTTCTATTCACATCCCATTTATAATAAATCATAATGTTTAATAAGTATGTATCATCATAAACATATTAGCTGTGCAGAAAAATAAGACATTTATATATTTTAGATTTTAATTTCTATGATTAGCTTTTTCTTAAAAGATCATTTAAGAATTTGTTTCTTGTAAATGTATAAACATCACAAGTCACAATACACCTTTTTCCATCAACATTTTATTTGGACTTTTCATTCAGTTTTCTTCAATCAAATATTTGTTTTATTTGACTTGGTATAAAGTAAAGAGATTATTACGTTAGTAATTTTCACCAACCCCCTAACATATATATTTATCGTTTCATTAGAAGAATATAAAGGAGTATCTGAGAATTTAATATACGCCAATAAAGAAAGAAGACCGTAAGTGTAGAGAAGAGAGAGAGAAAGAGTCTCTGCATCTCGTGGTCTTGCTCCGCCGTCAGGGGGAAAGGTGAACCCTTTTATACATTATTACATTCTCCAATCTCCGCTTTCATTAGTTTTTGTTCCCATTCATATGGTGTTTTCATCTAAAATTTTCAGCTGCAATTAGCTTAATTCTAGATGAACATTCGGTTTGTGTGTGTTTTCATCTTAAATCCATTTTTTGCTTAGCCTAATTTGTAACAACACTTCCAGAATATGGAAGCAGCTATTGCTGTTCAGAGGTTTCACTACTCATCACCATGTATTGATTGGAGAAATTTTGAAGGGAAGCCTCGTGGTTCTCTACGTTACTACTCTCACCGAATCAAAGAGAATAAAAGGCTTATTATAGCTGATTTGCAACCTGACAAAAGGAGAAGGGATCATCGACAAAGATCAGTTTCTGACAAGAACTCTTCAGGTTCTGACAAATTAAAGCATCAATCTTTTGACTTTATTTAGTTTTAAAAATGTAGCTTTTTAATCTATTCGATGAAACAAATGCGTTCTCATCTTCAAATTTCGCAGCATTGTTGGAAACTGGAGAGCTTCTTCATTCTCCATTTGATGAAGAAGTGGTTTTGAAGGCAAGTTGATAGATACTCTTCTATTGTTACATTAGTATTAAGACATTTTTGGCATCAATCTTTATTGAAATGGGATACACTTGAGAGATTTTTGCAGAGAAAAGCTGAAGAGGTTAAACCGTATATAAATGGACGATCTATGTATCTTGTTGGTAAGTCTCTTCCTTTGTTTCTGTATTGTTTAGCTTCTCGTGCATTCTCTGGTAACTGAACAGTTTCCTCGTGAATGTGTGTCAGGAATGATGGGTTCCGGGAAGACGACAGTAGGAAAGATCATGGCAAAAGCACTTGGTTATACCTTCTTTGATTGGTATGTTTATCTGCTTATATTTTTAACTGTGTGTTTGTATAGAACTTTAGCTGAACTATAAACATTGTTCTGTAAATGTGGCAGTGACACATTGATCGAGGAGTCGATGAATGGTACTTCCGTTGCTGAGATATTTGAGCATTTCGGTGAAGGTGTCTTCAGAGAGAAAGAGGTTTTCACTCTCTTCTTCTTGCCATAACCTGATTCTACACTTTTTAACCATGTTCTTTTCCTCTCTCCATGTGTTCCTGTTGCTAATTTCATCACATGTTTTTTTATTTAATTTGACTAGACCGAGGCACTAAAGAAGCTCTCTTTGATGTACCACCAAGTTGTTGTGTCAACAGGTGGAGGTGCGGTTATAAGACCCATTAATTGGTGCGTTTCCAATCACTGATAATGTGTAATACCAAACTCAGATCATTTGTTAATAATTATGTGTTTGGTTTTGTATTCAGGAAGTATATGCATAAAGGTATTAGCATTTGGCTTGATGTTCCCCTAGAAGCCTTAGCGCAAAGAATTGCTGCTGTAGGAACAAACTCAAGACCATTGTTACATGATGATAAGTCAGGAGACCCATACACAGTGGTAATGTTGAAATTAGAGTTTTAATCTTCCCAGATTACATCATTTTTTATCATTTGTGACTTCCACATTAGGCTTTAAACCGTCTTTCAACTATTTGGGAAGCACGTGGTGAAGCATATGCTAATGCCAGTGCGAGAGTCTCCTTGGAGAGTATGGTCCTTTCCACTTTTTAATTTCTTTCTATGTTGTATAGCTTTTCACAATCTCTCATGCCATTTTCTGACTTAATTTGTTACCAGATATTACATCAAAGCTCGGGTACAGAAACGTCTCAGACCTGACACCAATTGATATCGCCATTGAAGTATGATGTCTCAAAACCTCTATGCTCCTATACATTTCAGTGTTGTTGGTTTTGATAAGCGCTCTAACTGCTCAGTCATATTCATTATCAGGCTTTTGAGCAAGTTCAGAGCTTTCTAAACAAAGAGGATGGCTTCTAGATGGAGACGGTTATGTTTCCCTGCAACATCTCATCAGTAGTTTACGTATTCTTGTTCCATCAGAGCTTTGTCTGTGCCTAGTTTTGACTGCTGTGTACAGATTATACGATTGAAATTTGAATAATACTCTTTGTTTTATCACAATAAGATAACTTTCTGCAACTTCATCAGTGATTCATTAAGAAATAGAAAGCCAAGTAACCAAACTACTATCAACTTTGCATGAGAGTAGTGAAGATTATATATCCAACAAAAAAGTGTTTTTGAGTAGATATTAGATTTTGGCCAGTCTTTTGAAAGCGCGAGATTAATTTTGTTGATAATCTCTGTATTGGTTCATAATGGAAATGACAAATCTATTAAACCCGTTTGTACTTATAAATATTTTACATATTGGATGAAATAATCCGAAAACAATAATTTTAAAGTGTCTACTCAATAATTTTTAAAGTGTCTACTCATTTGAAAGTATCTACTTAATATTTTCAATTCACATTAACTTTTAAAAATAATTAGAAATTCTTGCGCAGATCCCATGATATCCTGAGCAGCCAAAGAGTAAAGCATGAATTTTTGTTGTATTGTTTGTAATTATATATATTGCTTCTCCGGATTCTATGTTAGTATTAGCTAATAGTGAAAAGATAAAGGGTCATTGTAAGTCGTATTCTGCCAAGAAAAAACTAAAGAAGAAAAAAAAAACGAAACAACAGGCAGTAGAAGTGAATGATTCTTCCATGAGCGTTAAAAAAACCTGTCACCGGTAGTAATTTCATCAAACCGTAGCAGAAAGAACATTTGCATCGACCAAGTGGCATGGCTCTTGGAGTGTAAGCACTGAATCTAACCACAGGATATTCCCCCACATCTCATCTCCATCGCGTAACTCAAGCGCAATCTGAGCACACCAAATCACTTTTTCCGAACCCACATAACCTTCCCACAACACAGCCATCTTCTTCTCACCAAGATCCACCATTTTACAATAGCCACCAAAATCAGGCAAATCTTCAACACCATTTAAAGTCTTCCATGAATTTGCCTTCGAGTCATACCAACTAAACTCTACGTCGTCCCAAAAGAACATGATGCCTCCTATCACGCCGTGAACAAAGAATGCTGCAAAAGCCCAATCCATACCCAATCCTATCGGGTTCCAACTAGCTTCCTCTGGATCGTAAACCACATCCCCCTTACCAAGGAGGTACAATTTTCCTTCAATGCCAAAGCTTTTGACTTCACCTCCACGGCTTCTTTCAGTGCCAGGGTTCGTCACATTTCCCCAAGTTTGAGTCTTTGGATCAAATACCTCGACCCAGTTGTCGGAATTGAGGTCTTTACACCCTCCTGCTACATATATCTTCCCATCGAGTAAGCTCGCTGCAGGGGACCTCCTCTTCACTCGCATCCTTGGAGCCTTGTGCCACGTGTTGAACCGACAATCAAGGACCGAGACTCTAGAAGAAGAGGACATGTACCCGCCGATTTTGTAGATATTAGACCCAACGGCTACCACAGATTCAGCAGGACGCAAATGGGGAGAAGGGATTGGGATAAAAAGATGTCTACTTGTCTGGTCGGTTACGGTTCGGTTAGGTTTCCGACAGAGAGCGAACCAATATGGGATAGGATCAGGAAGGTTTGGTCGATGGGAGCGTAAGCATAGATAGAGACAACTCTCTGTTCGGTGTAAGAGGGAGCGAGTCTCGTAAAGATCCGGCGATGCAACGACTGATCGGAACGTTTTGGAGACGAGGGAGAGAGTTGGATAGTACAATCTAGAGACGCGCGCTAAGATATTCAATAGCAAATCGTAAGGAAGAGACAAAATCGAGATCCCTGAGGACTCCTTCTTACTCGGTGGTTGGTCGCTGTTCATGGCGGCGGGCGGGCTGTCGAGTTACGCAGGAGAAGACGTGGTTAGTTATATTGGGCGTGAGGAAACTCAAAACCAATCTCTCTTGGGCTTCTATATATATACATACTTTAACTGGTAAAAAGGCTTAATGCAATATCAGCGATGGCCCAAGTTCAGAGCTTTCTTAAAAAAGAGGAACGGTATGGCTGGCTAGTCCGGATGGCTTCTAGTTGGAAGACTGTTATGTTTTCCCACAGCATCCCATCAGTTTAGGTGTTCCTGTCCAATTTGTGCCTAGTTTTGACTGCAGTGTACAGTTTATATGATTGAATAATACTGTTTTTTAATTACATTCTTTAAGATAAGAGAATTTTCTGCAACTTTAGCAGTAAGTCATAGAAAAGCCAACTACTATGTGTTTACACCACCAGTTAACCACGAAACAACAATCAATGATACCTTCCTTTACTTTTTTTTCCCGTGAAAAGAAATACATTCAACAAAAACAGCGTTTCATAAGTCACAAAATAAGCCAACGCGTGAAAGGGTTACTTACACAAAGTGAAATGATGATGCCTACTACATTCAGCTAAAACACAAAGAATTACACAAGGAAATTTGATATTACCTACTCGACCACTAGAGATTCATCACGATCAAGTGGGTCTCATAAAGTCAGTAATCAAACGGTAGCAGCAAGAGCATAGTTAATTCTACATGACTAAGATACAGAAAACCAACAATACGTACACACCTGATTGTCACCAAACAACAATCAATTTTGCATCTTTTGGCCCAAGAAAATAGTGAACATTCTACTCAACAAAAACATATTCAATAGGTCACAAGATAGTCTAAGCCGTCAAAGGTTTACAGAAGTGAAATGATGTCTACCGCATAAGGTAACAACTAAGACAGAATTACAGAACAAAGTGACCATTAAAGATTCAAGTCGGTCCCATAAAGTCAGTCATCAAAGGGTAGCAGCAAGAGTATGGTTAATTCTACATGACTTGGGGACTTTAAGCACAGCGTCCTTCCACTCAACCTTACCCCAAATCTCTTCATCGTTGCGTCTTTCAAGTGCAATCACCGCGCACCAAATCATCTTGTCCACATAACCAGTGGAAGCGACAACCCTGTCCCAAAAAACAGCCATCTTCCCACCATCATAAGCTGCCAATCTCGCAATATAACGTGGAAACTTAGGAAGGCCTTTCAAACCCTTCAAAACTCTCCAGAGTCTTGCCTTAGTATCATACCATTTGAACTCTCCGTCGTAATAAAAGTAAATAACGTTCTGAACCACACAGTAAGAAAACCAAACCCATTCCGAACTCATCTCCATCCCCACACTTTCCCATCGACCTTCCCTCGTGTCGTAAGCCAAGCCATTAGAGGATCCGAAAATGTGTACCTTTCCGTCAATCCCCGCGCTTGTACTTATATGATCATATAGAAGTCGTATCTGCGCAGGGGGGCTAGACACAAGCTCCCAAGTTTGTGTTTTTGGATCGAAAACTTCCATCCACTGGGGAGAACTAGAGTTGGAGTCTCCGGTTACATATATCTTTCCATCAATTACATTGGCGTGTGGGTAGTTCCGCTTCACCAGCAAGCTCGGACCTTCACGCCACGTGTTGGACCGACAGTCAAGGATTGAGATGCTAGAGGATGGCTTTTTGTCGTCGCCTACGGGTCCACCAATGTTATAGATATCTGAACCAACTGTCACTAGACCCGACCAGTGGGCAGAGCGAGAATGGTGAGTTGGGAGTTTAGCTAAAACATACCCACTTGGCTTCTTCTTCCTCTTGTTGGTGGTTAGGGTTCGATCAGGTTTCCGGCAGAGGGTGAACCAGTGATGGATAGAGTCATTAGCGAAGCTTATGCATACATAGAGACAACTCTCTGTGAGGGCTAAAGAGGATCGGGTCTTGTAAAGCTCCGGTGAAGCAAGGAGAGATCGAAAGCTCTTTGAGACGAGTGAGAGTTTTGGGTATTCCAATCTCGAGACGCGAGCTAAACAACTTACTATCAAATCATCGGGAAGTGACGGATTTTGAGTCGGTTCCCGCGCCGGCTCGAGTACCCGCGGCTCGTTAAGAGACGATTTCTTCTTCGGCCTCTTCCTCTTCCTTTCTGGGGACGACGACATTGGCTAAATCGCAATTGAATTCGACTTTGTCTCCGATTTGCAGAGATCGGATTCAAAGGAGTCTAGGGTTTCGACTTTAACACTCCACTTGCAAAATTCAATGGCGCGCGTGGCTTGATACATTCCGTGGTGTTTCATCTTATTGGGCCTTAAATTTCTGGCTTCAAAGCCTCTTATATTATTGGTTCATATTTTGAAAGTAAACAGAACAAACTTGTAAATGTTTCAATGATACCGAGGATCCTAGGATTATCCTATTAAGTTGTCTCTTTCATCTTGTGAAGTTCATATTACTAATTATACTAAGTACAGTAGATGTAGAATATGTTTAAAAGTGAACAGATGCTAATTGCAATGAGCTAAAAACATGAACCATCATCGTAGACATATACTAAAAGCGAAGGTAAAAGAGAAAGGGAAACCACAAAAGATAAACAAATATTCAAAGCAAAAACGTACAGTAATAACCGTTCAAGCATGTTCTCATGACAACACAGTCATTTCACTAAACAGAAACAGAAACAACATCCAACATGGAACAAGACGGGTAGGTTCTAAGAAGGGAATCAAACCACTCAACCTTGCCCCAAATCTCATCTGCACTGCGCTTTTCAAGCCTAATCTCAGCACACCAGATCCTACAGTACTCCCCATTATCCAGATCTTCATTCCACAAAAACCCCATCTTTCCACCAAGATCCACCATTGCCTTTTTACATTTCTCTCCAAGATCAGGCAAACCTTCAATACCATTCACTTCCTTCAATATATCTGTCTTAAAATCATACCATTTGAATGTCTTATCCCAGCAATACAAGACATGGTCTATCACGCAATGACACTCTCTTGCTGCCCAAGACATACGAACATTATCCCATCCTAAATCCCACCATCTATTATCCTCGGGGTTGTACACCGAACCATTATCCCCGAAAATGTAGAGTTTCCCTTCAAGCACAAAGCTTTTTACAAAGGGCTTAACCCTATAATCCTCGCTCCACCTGAAAACACAAGGGTCCCTCAATCCAAAACCCCAAGTTTGTGTCTCTAAATCAAACACTTCCATAAATTTGAGGGTACTGAAGTATTTTTCATCACAGCCTCCGCCTACATATATCTTCCCATCAAACAATGTCGCTGTGGAGGATGAGTCCCGCTCCACTCCCATGCTCGGAGCCTGGCGCCACGTGTGAGTGCGACAATCAAGAACAGAGACACTTGAAGAGTAGTCCCGCTTCCAGAATTTGCATTTGAAATTATGACCGCCACCGATCTTGTAGATATCAGATCCAACGGCTACAAGAGTCGACGACTCCGCATGTAGCAGAGATTTTGGAGATGGAACTGTCTCCAAAGAGTAGCCACATGACTCGTTACGACTAGGAAGGCGGGTTAGAGTGAACAAATATGCTTCAGGATCACGACGGAAGCTTAGGTAAAGGTAGAGACACTTCTCAGTACGGTTCAGGCGCGATCGGGTTGCGTAAAGCTCCGGTGAAGCAATGATGGATCTGAAACGTTTGGAGACGCGGGAGAGAATGTGATAGTACAGTCTAGAGACGCGTGCTAAGCAGTTTAGAAGCAGATCATCGGGTAGTGAAGAGATGGATATTGAGGTCTGTTCTGTCTCAGGCGATGAAGGCTTCGTTTTTTTGTTTTGCGGTGGATCGTTTCCGCTCGTGGCGGGTGGAGATCTTGCTTTGGAAGACATTTAGGGTGAAGTTTCTGAATTAAAATTTACAAGTAGAGAGATATATAACCGTGACGATGTGAGGAGGGAGGTTTATATAAGGGAAAAGGAAATTTCAAAGGTTTGCGGTTATCACGAAAACGTACGTCCGCTCATCTTGCGCGTCGAGATAAGTATGTGAATAATGGCCTTTTATTAGTTTTGAACGAAACGCCAAATTTTCTGTAATTTTTATTCTAATTAAATGTTTGTTTGGCGTTCGTTACAAAATATACTTCTTTATTAGGTCTTGGGTCTTTTAACTTAAACTTATTCTGAAGACGACGAATTATTATTTATATAATACAGAGACGGTTACGTTTCAGTCAACAGTTTACGTGTTCTTGTTTAATCAGAGCTTGTCTGTGCCTAGTTTTGACTGTTGTACAGTATACTATTATATAATTACTGTTTCTTTGATTACTGTCACCTTTTTCCCCTTGACCAAAAATTGGGAAAGATGCCATCTGAGTTTTATATTAAGAGAATTTTATGCAACCTATTCATCAGTGAGTAACTAAATAACAGAAAGCCAACTATATGCACACCAGATCAGATGAGTTTTGCATCTTTTAGTTCTTTTTCAGTTTCTCCATCAAAGTACTGAACATTATATTTAGTTAGAACAATGTTTCATAGGTCACACTTACCAATCAAAGAAACGATGTCTACTGCATTAAGTTTGTATAATTATACAAAATTTGCCACGACCACTAAAGATTCTTCCAACAATGACTAAAAACATGTCTTTAGTTTCAGCAAAAACAGCCGCAGAATAAACTGATCCTACATTCTAGCTCAATGCACACCTAGCTAATTGTTCTACCTGCATCACTCAAGAGTCGAGATTTACTCTACCCAGTCAGTCATCATGCACTAGCAAGCTAATCGTCTACATGCGTCACTCACTCAAGTCTTCTCCCTGTCGATACATCAAACAGTAGCAACAAGAGCACACACGAATTCATAAGATTCAGGGACTGTGAGCACAGCATCAAGCCATTCAACCTTCCCCCAAATCTCTTCACTGTTTGGCCTTTCAAGAGCAATCACAGCACACCAAATCGTCTTCTTCTTATATCCACTAGAAGGCAAATACTTATCCCACAAAACAGCCATCTTTCCACCATAATCTGCGAGTTTAACACAACCATAACGGGCAAACTTAGGCAGTCCTTTCAAACCCTTCATCTGTCTCCATATTCTTGCCTCAGTGTCATACCATTTGAACACGTCGTAATAATAGAAGAGTACGTTGTCAATCACGGAATAAGAAAACCAGGGCCAACCCAAATCCATCTCCCATCCCAGCCTTTCCCATTTACCTTCACTCGGTTTGTAAGACAAACCATTACAGTTTCCAAAAACGAAGAATTTACCATCAAGGCCTGCGCTTTTATGTATCTTACAGCCACATATCTCCGGGCCATGGCTTGGCACAAGCTCCCAAGTTTGTGTCTTTGGATCAAAAACCTCCATCCAGCTGGAGTTATTGCATTCCTCGCATCCTTCTGCTACATATATCTTTCCATCAACGACATTGGCAGCAGGATAATACCGCTCAACCAGCATGCTTGGAGCCTCGCGCCACGTGTGAGATCGGCAGTCAAGGATTGAGACGGTGGACAAGGGTGTTTTGTAAGACGATTGACAGGGTGGTGGAAGTTCTTGGAAGAGTATGGGCTCAAGGAGTGTTGTGACTTCGTCACGGTTTGGATGTTTAGGCACACAGTCACTCAACTGCTTTGCTTAGCTATTGATGCCACAAGGTTTTCTGTCAGGAAACAGGTTAGTAAAAGGATCTCTGATGCTGCTTTCGAGGATTCTGACTAAGAGAGATTGCTTTGTCATGTTAAAGAGAAATGTAGAAAGAGATTTGGGTTTAGAGATTAGGAGATCATGAGGAGATTAATGGTGTTTGGAGATTTAGATGAAGGTTTAAGGTGTAGATTTGAGTTACACTCTCAGTTTCTTAGTCTAAAAAAATGTAAATAGTTGGATCATTGTATGATAAAAAAAACAGTTGGTTCTTATTTCAGTACTTGTGAAAACTTAGAAGTGATCACTTTACTTGAGAGGCAAGTTATCGAGATTCATCATTTTGCATACTTAATATGAGTAATTTGGTGTAGAGAGCCTTTTACTGCACTGTGGGAAAAACGATTTTCATCAGTTTTCAGACTTTACTATGACTGCATAAATCACATCTCTACCTTTATATATATATATATATATTTTATTGTATCATGTTTGTGAACGAACAGGTAGGCGTTGACCCTGTCCTGTGATAATAATATTCACATCAGCAAGTACACTGGTGTATTTAGATGAATCTTAAGCATAGATGCATAGGAGCCTATAAAGTTTCAACACCCACCTCTTGTACACAGTATCTCTACAATTTGTAAATGAATCTGAAAACTATGCCATTTTATCTACAACTTAAAATTATTCCAACTCTATTTATTTTATGGCTAGCAACATTGTTCCTAGAGCAAGAAATATAAAAATTTGAAAATCATCAAAACTGATATATAGAATTTGTAACCATTAGAGATTTCTGTTTTAATCACATACATGAAATTTTTTTTCAAAAAAAGTTAAATTTAGGGGTTCAAAATGACATTTTAGTGTTCCCCATTCTCACTCGAGCGCGAGTGAATAACACAGCTTACCCTTATGGGTGATTCCTCTTTTGAATTCTTTTGATTTTGACGTATTTCAACTTTTTTCGAAAAAACCGGCGAGTGAAAACACAAAACCAATAAGATCTTAACCGGTATCTATACCGCTGGTTTACAGTAAATAATTTCGGTTTCGATAATCCGGTTTAGTTATTGAATCAAAATCCAAAACCCGAACCGTTCTTCTTCTTCTTCGTCACTCTATCAAACGAGCAGCTCCTTAGTCATCATCATCGTCACACAGTTACGAACAGTGCAAGCAACATGAAACCCTTCGCTACCAATCGCGATCATCTCAAAAGCCCCACCACTCTCACCAAGATCTCCGTCTTACTTCTCGCCACCATCTCCTTCTTCTACTTAGGGAAACGGTTTTCCGAAGACGGATACAAGCAGCTCAAAAATTAGGGAAACGATTGACAATTATTCTTTTCAAAAATTATAGATATGTTCGCTCAAGACATGAATATAGATAGGTTTGGGCTCAATTAAGAAAGAGTTAAATCAAAATCCTTTTCATAATACTAATGTATTGTTTAATGTTTTACTTTTCTCACCAACGTCAAGAACAAAGACAACTATTTTTTTTTGGTTAGCTCAAGACATGAATATAGATAGGTTTTACCTTCACACAGCACACCTCCATTTTTATGCAACTTGACCACTCATTATTCTCGTTAATGTAGTTTGAAGCGTATCCTTTTTATGCAAACACAAATAAAAGTTGTTTTCAGAACAATTTGGTCACTTGCCATCACAATTAGCAAGCTAAATCATCAAGACATAAAATGTGAAATGCAAATCTTATTCAACTAAAAACAATGAAACAATAATTCATTAGAGTGACATATCAACTAAAGGTAGATATCACTGAAGAAAGCAAATACTCAGAAAAAACAAAAGCAAATCTACCGGCACCAGTGATCTTCCATCACCGCTCAAGCCACATGTTCTCATCATCAGTAGCCATTTCAAAATCAAACAGTAACAGAAAGAACATCGGCATCGAACAAGCCACATGGCTCGTGGGTAGTGAGCACGACATCAAACCACTCGACATTCCCCCACATCTCATCTCCGCGCCTCTCAAGCGCAATCTCAGCACACCAAATAGATCTCTCTTCACAACGCCCAAAAACGTTCCACAAGACATACATCTTTCCACCAACATCCACCATTTTAAAATTCCCGTCAAGATCAGGCAAATCTTCAACACCGTTCAACTTCTTCCATAAACTTGCCTCAAAGTCAAACCATTTAAACTCTCTCTCATCCCAAAGAAACAAGACATTTCCTATCACGCCGTGGTAAAATAAAACTGCAGAAGCCACATCATTCATATCCATAACCATACCCGGGTTCCATCTAGCTTCCTTGGGATCGTAAATCACATACTTAAGGTTATCACCAAAGAGGTACAGTTTTCCTTCAACTCCAAAGCTCTCGAAATTAGCTTCTGATGATGGGCGTATCTCCGCGCCAGGATTGGTCACATTTCCCCAAGTTTGAGTCTTTGGATCAAACACCTCCACACAGTTATTGAGATCTTCGCAGCCTCCCGCTACGTATATCTTCCCATCGACTACGCTCACAGCGGAGGAGCTCCTCTTCTCTCGCATCATTGGAGCACTGTGCCACGTGTTGAACCGACAGTCAAGGACCGAGACTTCAGACGAAGAGGGCGTGCTATGCCTTCCCATCTTGTAGATGTTAGACCCAACGGCCACAACGCTCGAAGATGGCTCATGACGCACATCTGGAGATGTGATTGGTATTAAAACAAGTCCCCTTGATGACCTGTCGGTTAGGGTTCGGTTTGGTTTTCTGCAGAGAGCGAACCAATGTGGGTTAGGGTCAAGACTGTCATCTAGATGGTAGCGTAAGCACAGATAGAGGCAACTCTCGGTGCGGTTTAAGAGCGAACGGTTCTTGTAAATCTCCGGTGAGGCAAGGACGGATCGTATCTTTTTGGAGACGAGGCAGAGAGTTGGATAGTACAGTTTAGAGACACGCGCTAAGATATTGAATATCAAATCGTAAGGAAGAGAGAAAATCGAGATCTCCGAAGAAGAGTGTTTCGTCATCTGCTTCTTACTCGGTGGTTGGTCGCCGTTCATGGCGGCGGAGGATCTGGCTGTTGACGACATTTTGAGGGTCGAAATGTGATGAAATGAATTAGGGCGGAGAAGACAGTGAATATAGTGCGTAATTGCGTATGTTACAAGCTTATATTTGGGCCTGAGGAAACTCAAAACCAACCTTTTGGGCTTATTAGAAGCAATATCAGTGATGGGCTTTTAGTTTTATGAACTATATAAGCCTATGAATTATTTTTGTTTTGCTCTCAATTCTGCTTCTTTCTCATTCATTCAAGTTCATAATACTAACTGAATTCATAAAGATACGAAGAAGACTATTTACTTGAATACAAACAAAAGTGTATTCATTTTGTCAAAATAAGCTATACCGTCTACAAACCTACAACTATAGTGTTTTGCTCTTGGTCTTTTTCTACTTCAACAGACAACTTGTTCTCATGAAGAACGTATTATTTATATGCTATAGTCTATAGAGTAGAAACAAATGAAGTTGGACCGGTTCAACTGCATAAAAGAAACTCAAGAGTCAAGATAGTACATTTTCCACAACACATGAATATAGAATACTAATAAACGCGTTTAATGATTCTAAATTAATAAATTCTTTGTCTACGTTCCAAATTAACAACGTAATCCACCTAACCTTAGTGCATGTTCTCTTCATATAACATATACAAATTACAAGCTAATCAAACTTAAAGAGTAGACCGACGACCAACATAAAAACAAAAAACAAAACATGCACACCGTTAGGTTAGTAACGTTCATTATTCTCTTGTTCTTTGCATCACTGAGCACAATCGTCTTTGCTGGGTTAACATACGATAACGAATCTCTCAATACCAGTAAGTTTATCGTTACTATGGGAAACTTCTTCTTCATCTATTGATTTGGTTTTTCCTAGCTTCAAGAAGATGATTATGTACTGCCAAGTCTTGATTTAGTTTTCTGTTTCTTAAAAATTAGTGTTGAATTTTTTTCCTTTTTATATGTTGGAAAAGAAACAGGAGAAGCGGTTTGGAATCAAAAGGTCGTCAACAATCTCAGAGGTAAAATAAAGCCCAGTACCTCACGGCGTGCGCGTCAGTACCGAGTAAGTCCATTGAGGGGTTCTGAAGATTCAAAGTCGACTCAATGGGAACGTAATGCTATCATTGAGGCATTTTTCCCATAACTAGCTTCATTTGTTCAATGATATGATCAGTTCATACGTGTAACTCTGCTTCATATTTTTAATAAACCTTTTCTTGTCTGGCACAAAAGAACTTCAACGGTTTTTTCTAGGGATGGGCGTTCGGGTACCCATTCGGGTTCGATTCGGATATATTCGGGTTTCAGATTTTCGAGTTCACAAATTTTAGCCCCATTCGAACATTTCTAAATTTCGTTTCGGATTCGGTTCAGATCTTTGCGGATTCGGTTCGGGTTTGGATAACCCATTTAAATAATTTTTAAAATTTATAATTGATTATATACTTTAAATTTCTAAAAATCTACAAAAATAATATATTACAAATAATTGAATAACATAAGTCAAAATACCTAAAAGTAACATATAAATTAGTTTGATTTGAATATTTGGATTGTGAATCGATAACTCTTTTAAGTATTTTTGAGGTTTTAAGTGTACTTTAGCAATTTTACACATGTATGTTTGACTATTTACATATATTTACAAGCATTTTGTACAACTTCAAAGTATAATATATATTAGTGTTTTTTTTATATACATTAAATCTAAAATAATTAATATATATAGGTATATAAATCTCTTTCAGATATATTCAGGTACCCGAAATACTTCGGTTCGGGTCGGATTCAGTTTCGATTTTATAAATACCAAAATTTTGAACACATTCGAATATTGAATCAATTTCGATTAGGATTCGATACTCTTTTTTCGGACCGGATTCGGTTCGGTTCTTCAGTTACCCAGCCCTAGTTTTTTTTTTTTTTTTTTGGTTTGGAGCCTATTGGATTGCAATCTAAAAAGGATTTGGGAAGGTTAATTTGTTCTAGAACTGTCCTAATCCATTTTTACTTGATATTGAATTTAGGAAAAAAAATCGAATTGAAACTCAACTCTACTACGAAGTTTTTATGTTAAAAAAAAATAGAAAGGTCAACTGAAAATGAATATGAACTATTCCACAAAAGTAAAAATAGTTATCATTATTCTAGTTTCAAAATATGGAATTATAGAATTTTGTTACTTTTAAATATTCACACCCACACCTGAGCCGGATCCGCGATTGGACCGATAAATTCGGTGATCCGTAAATAATCCAAATTGAATTTAAGTAAAAATTCAATAAAATATGGCAAAAACTCAAAAACACAGCATTGATCCGTGATCCGGTACCAGTTAACCTGGTAAAAAAACTCAAATTTTCTTATAATATTTATAAAAAACTGATTAAACCTTTTATACACTTTTAATATTACAGAAATTTAAATAATAAAAGAACCAAAACTTATTTATATGACATTGTTAGACTATTATTTTATTTTTGTTATTGAAAATCTATTATATGTTTGTATTCATGATTTAAAAATCAGTCTCATAATATTTTATTTAATAATTAATTATCTTATCTTTAGCTAAATTCTTATTTGTTATTACAAATTGATCAAATCATTTATTTTATGGAAGATGTACATTGAAATAAAACAAAGAAATTAAATTTGCTGATAATAAAAAACAAAATTTTAAATGTTGAATGATATTTTGTATAAAATTTGATATCATCTTATATTTTCTAATGATTAGTAATATTATGTTTCTATATATTAAAAGTTCAAATTGATTAATTTACTGACCCGTGGTTCAACTGCGGTCTAGCTAGCGGTGACAGAGAGTAATCCGAATTAATATCTGGTCCGGGTTTAGAAACATTGGTTATTAAGATAGCTACTCTATTAAAATAGAGTCACTATTTTTATCTACTACAAATAAGTCATCTATGACCATTTCATTTATTACTTAGTATGATATATTAAATTATTTAGGTTAATCAATCAAATATATATCATATATGTTGAAAATAATAGATTTACATTCTATTTTTAGTTATAACAGAATCGGTTGAGAGAAAATCTAACAAAATCTTACCAAAAATTTAAATATTTTATTATTAAATAACATAATAATAAATTTTGTAATTAATAATATCATACTATTATACATTAGTATTAATTAAAATCTCACTAAAATAACAAAAAAATAATCCTATACTATTTTATAAATTTCAAAGTAAAACTTTAAAGAATATTATATATTAATAGTGTTGAATAAAAGCCTACACCAGTTAGATTATAAATTTACACAATATATAATATAAAAATATAAATTATATATTTCAAATATTTACATTAATATTAAATATTTTTTTAAAAATGAAAAATATAACCGCACGAATGTGCATGTAAAAACTCTAGTGGCTCATTACGACGAACATTATGATCTGAAACCCAATAGGCCTCACACGAAAAACCCATATACTAACCGCAACGTAATATATTGTAAGGCCCGAAAGTCCCAATCTTTCTACACTCAAACGTAAGTGTAAATTTCATTACAAATAAGAAGCGAAACGCGACGAGAACTGGAAGCAGATCTGTGCGACGAGAATTGAATCTATTTCTTCTCCTCCTCCTCAACCAAATCGGTTTATCAAATATTATATCGTTGTGTTTCGCTAACTCTCGCATCGACGCTTCTCTGGTAATGCTACTGATCTCCACCGCGACACTCTGCTTGATCGTCTTCTCCCCCTGTGAACTGATCTGATCCGAGGTGAATCCCTAATCCTCATTCTACGAATTTTTATTATTTTGGATCTCACTACGTGTTACCTTCAGATCTGTTTGCGATATGTTATCTGTGAAAATGACTCGTTTCTCTGTGATCTGATTTTTCCTGTGTAGAGCTGCTTCTGTTACGAAAATGTTGACGAAGTTCGAGACAAAGAGTAACAGAGTTAAGGGACTCACCTTCCACCCTAAGCGACCATGGATCCTCGCCAGTTTGCACAGTGGTGTGATTCAGCTCTGGGATTATCGTATGGGTACTTTGATCGATCGATTTGACGAGCATGAAGGTCCTGTTCGCGGTGTTCATTTTCACAATTCTCAGCCTCTCTTCGTCTCCGGAGGTAGTATATTATATGCTTTCTTAATCCCAACATTTACTTCATCTAGATTCTTTTAGCTACAACAAGTCCGTATTTATTAATCCATGATATAATAATCTACTCTGCTGAGTAATACAATATATCTAGCTTGAAGAGGATGGGTTTCGTTGCTTACTTGTCCAAGCTGTAGTGATAAATGTTAATCCTAAGTTAAAAATTGGTTATACAACATATGCTCTTTTGGATAATTGGATATAGTTAATTAAATCAGATCCCACATTGCGTGTGCTTTGGACATAATTCTAGCAAATGAAAACCTGTCAAATGCAACTGTCTTAGATTCTTCTTCATTACGCTTGTTTAGTTTAGAACATTGCTGCCTCTTATGTAGTTGCTGGCACTGACAACCGTGTGTTTCTGCAGGTGATGATTACAAGATTAAAGTTTGGAACCACAAAACCCACAGATGCCTTTTCACTCTTCTCGGCCATCTCGACTATATCCGCACTGTCCAATTTCACCACGAAAACCCCTGGATTGTGAGTGCTAGTGACGATCAGACTATCCGCATTTGGAACTGGCAGTCACGGACTTGTATTTCTGTCCTGACTGGCCACAATCATTATGTTATGTGTGCTTCTTTCCATCCTAAAGAAGACCTTGTCGTCTCTGCATCTCTGGATCAGACTGTCCGTGTCTGGGATATTGGTTCTCTTAAGAAGAAGACCGTGTCTCCTGCTGATGACCTCATGCGATTCACACAGATGAACTCTGATCTTTTTGGTGGTGTTGACGCTATTGTTAAGTACGTCCTCGAAGGTCATGACAGAGGAGTAAACTGGGCTTCTTTTCACCCCACTCTTCCTCTTATCGTCTCTGGTGCAGATGACCGCCAAGTGAAGCTCTGGCGTATGAATGGTAATTCCATGTTCTGTCACTTTTTGAATTCTATTTATATTCATCGTTTGTACACTAAATTGCCATTTCTGTAGTAGTGGAGCTGATGTAATTAATGCGATATTTTCAATTTTATTGCAGAAACTAAAGCTTGGGAGGTGGATACACTGCGAGGCCATATGAATAATGTTTCATCTGTTATGTTCCATGCAAAACAGGACATAATTGTTTCCAACTCTGAGGATAAAAGCATTCGTGTCTGGGATGCTACCAAGCGAACTGGAATCCAAACTTTTCGCCGTGAACATGATCGTTTCTGGATTCTTGCAGTTCACCCTGAGATTAATTTACTGGCAGCGGGGCATGACAATGGTATGATCGTCTTCAAACTTGAGAGAGAACGTCCTGCATTTGCTTTGAGTGGTAATTCTTTGTTCTATACCAAAGATAGATTTTTGAGGTACTACGACTGTTCAACTCAGAAAGATTCCCAAGTTATCCCTATACGGCGCCCTGGTACTCCAAGCTTGAATCAAAGTCCAAGGACTCTATCACACAGTTCATACAGTTCAACGGAAGATGCTGTTTTGATCTGCTCAGATTTGGATGGTGGCTCTTATGAATTGTACATCATACCGAAAGATAGTGTTGGCAGAAGTGACGTTGTGCAAGATGCAAAGAGGGGGACAGGTGGTTCTGCTGTATTCATTGCCCGTAACCGGTTTGCTGTTCTTGAGAAAAGTACCAACCAGGTGCTAGTCAAGAATCTGAAGAATGAGTTGGTTAAAAAGAGTTCTCTGCCTATACCCACAGATGCTATCTTTTCTGCTGGGTCTGGAAATTTACTCTGTAGATCTGAGGATAAAGTGGTTATATTTGACCATCAGCAAAGGCTTGTTCTTGGTGAACTTCAGACACCGTTTGTTAGGTATGTAGTTTGGTCTAATGATAAGGAGAGTGTTGCTTTGCTCAGCAAACATACTATTATTATTGCCAGCAAAAAACTTGTCCTCCAGTGCACACTTCATGAGACAATACGTGTGAAAAGTGGAGCTTGGGATGACAATGGAGTCTTCATTTACACAACTTTGAACCATATCAAGTACTGTCTTCCTAATGGAGATAGTGGAATCATCCGAACCCTGGATGTCCCTATCTATATCACCAAGGTTTCTGGAAATACGATCTTCTGCTTGGACCGGGATGGGAAAAACAGGGCAATCACCATAAATGCAACTGAATACATTTTTAAGCTTGCACTGCTGAGGAAGAGGTATGATCATGTCATGGGCATGATAAAGAACTCTCAGCTATGTGGACAGGCTATGATTGCTTACCTGCAGCAGAAAGGATTCCCTGAAGTTGCCCTCCATTTTGTTGAAGACGAGAGAGTCCGATTCAACCTGGCTCTTGAAAGTGGCAACATCAGCGTCGCTGTTGCATCCGCTACAGAGATAAATGAGAAAGAGCAGTGGTATAGACTTGGGGTGGAGGCTCTTCGCCAAGGTAATGCTGGAATTGTTGAATTTGCATACCAGCAGACAAAGAACTTTGAGAGGTTATCTTTTCTTTATCTCATTACTGGTAAGTTGGACAAGCTTTCAAAGTTGATGAAAATTGCGGAAGTGAAGAACAATGTAATGGGTCAGTTTCACAATGCTCTCTACCTAGGAGATGTTAAAGAGCGTGTCAAGATACTTGAGAATGCTGGTCACTTGCCTCTCGCTTATATCACTGCTTCGGTTCATGGTTTAAAGGATGTTGCTGAGAGACTAGCGACTGAGCTAGGAGATAACGTGCCCACATTACCTGAAGGGAAAACTCCATCGCTTTTAATGCCACCATCTCCTGTCATCTGTGGTGGTGATTGGCCTCTTCTAAGAGTAATGAAGGGAATATTTGAAGGCGGGCTTGAGAGTGCAGCCAGGGGAGGGGCTGTTGATGATGAAGAAGAAGATGTAGGTGGTGATTGGGGTGATGCTCTTGACATGGTCGATGTTGATGGAATGGAGAACAGAGACATCGAAGCCATTTTGGAGGAAGCAGAAGAAGAAAATGATGAAGGAGGATGGGAGGAACTTGACGGCTTGGACCTCCCACCAGAGCTTGACACTCCTAAGGCCTCTGCTAACGCACGTTCATCTGTCTTTGTGACACCTACTCAAGGTATGCCGGTTAGTCATATTTGGAGCCAGAAATCATCCCTTGCTGCTGAGCAAGCCGCAGCGGGAAGCTTCGACACTGCAATGCGTCTACTCAACAGACAGCTTGGTATAAAGAACTTTGCGCCTTTGAAATCGATGTTTATTGATTTATTCAGTGGCAGCCATAGCTATCTGCGTGCTTTTTCTTCATCTCCTGTGGTTTCACTTGCCATTGAGCGTGGATGGAGCGAGTCTTCCAGTCCCAACATCCGTGGCCCACCAGCTCTTGTTTATGATTTTTCTCAGCAAGAAGAGAAGCTCAAATCTGGATATAAAGCCACAACAAGTGGGAAATTGACTGAGGCCCTCCGGATCTTCCTCTCTATCCTCCACACCATCCCTCTAGTGGTGGTTGAGTCAAGAAGCGAAGTCGATGAGGTAAAGGAACTGGTCACTATCGTCAAAGAATATGTCCTCGGTCTTAAAATGGAGCTTAAGAGAAGAGAGACGAAAGATGATCCAGTGAGGCAGCAGGAGCTCGCTGCTTACTTCACTCACTGCAACCTCCAACTACCTCACTTACGACTCGCCCTGTTCAGTGCAATGGGCGTCTGCTACAAGTCAAAGAACCTCGCCACTGCCTATACCTTCGCCAAAAGATTGTTGGAAACAAACCCAATGGAGAGCCAGGCCAAGACCGCTAGACAAATTGTTCAAGCCGCTGAACGCAATATGACTGACGCAACGGAGCTCAACTACGACTTCAGAAACCCGTTCGTGATATGTGGGTCAACATATGTCCCCATCTACAGAGGTCAGAAAGACGTTTCCTGTCCATACTGCACCGCCCGGTTTGTACCAAGCCAAGAAGGAAACATATGCGGGGTCTGTGAGCTTGCAGTAATTGGCGCAGACGCATCTGGTTTGGTATGCTCTCCTTCTCAAGTCCGGTGATTAATTCAGATTCATTCTCTTCTCCAAACGTTAGGTAAGTACGAGATGCTCTTTTTATACGGAAGAAGAGCGTTGAGCTTTTGGTATTGGTGGGTTGTGTACTTAAAAAAGATTCTGGGTTGTGAACTTTTCATTGCAGGTTCTGCTATTAGTCATTGAGTCTTCTAAGTTGTTTCTTGTCTTAGTAACAACGCATGAGAACTTTTGCCTGTTGCTCTATATTTCATTTTGTTTGTTTTTTTATATTTACATAAGAAGTGAGAACTTCAACTTTACGGAAGAAGAATGTTTCGTTGCATATTCTATTACTCTTGGAATCTTTTTTAATTATTTCTAATCTTTAACAATTCGATTTTAGAAATCAAATAACCTTAATCGATTGACCTACCAAAAGGCTCTGTGGTTCAGTCACACTAGTATTAATCACTAAACAGATGATTCGTGAAGTTATCGTTAATGTATGTTTTGGCTACTTTCTATTATTGAAATATAAAATAAATAGAAAATGAAATGTGAGATAATTCATCTAAGTTGAAAATGCACATGGACTGTTAAGGTAGGCAGAAGTTGGCCGTTTTTGCTTTAGCCGCCTGAGCTTTACGCGTGGGACAAATCGACCAATGATTGAGCTTTACACCAATTCTCCTCAGTCCACACAACGTGTTTTGGACCAAATCAGAGATATTATATAGAAAAGACTTCTCCTTAACAAGAAATTCATGAGTCAGAAGAGTATCTTCTATTCGTCTGTACAAGCAGACACATGTATTAATTAATATTATGAGTTTGTCAAATCAAAATGACCGGAGTGCAGTTTCTGAAATTATAACTATATAAATACACCAAATTACATATTACACGACTCATGAAAAACAAGAAACAAAACCAAAAAGATGTACATAGTTTGGTTACTGACTTTGGTTCTCCTCTTGTTCTCTGCATCATCAGACACTGTTTTGGCTCGTCTACCATGTCAATCTTCCAAAACAGGTAAAAGATTTAGCCATTTTGAAAGTATTTCAGACGTCTCCCAAACCATTTTCTAATACAAAACTTAGGATAATCCTACCCAAAAAACAGTTATGCATACATGCAAAAAATATAAATCATCTTCTAATGTTTTCTCAATGATATACAGAAATACGTGTACATATAGGATACCTTGATCCATCTATATTATCTCCCTTTTAAAAAAAAAAAAATCAAATGTATATTAATGTTTTGTTTTCTGAGAACTGAAGTAGGAGGAGTGTGGAATAAAAAGTTGAATAGAGAGATGAAGATTAAAGTAGGAGGCAGTAGCTCACGGCCTGCAGGTCAGGGACGAGGACATTGATTCTGTCCAAGCTTAGCGAGAATCCGTATATGCGATGATTGCAATCACTGGATTCGTGATTAATGGCTGCCCTTTACCAAAGAAAAACAAATTACTATATGAAATGAAAATCTGTGGGTTGTTTCCAAATATATTTTTTTTGTTAAGTGTTGTTTCCAAATATGTTTCAAGATTTCAGTTAATTCGATTGAATAATTCTTTTGACCGTCTTGTTAATTAAGATGATTTTCTCCCAGACAAAGCCTATTAGCCGAGAAGTTGGACTATTCTTAAAAAATGACAAAACTACATTGTGCATAGGCTGAAAACATAAGAACCAAAAGTTCGGAGACGACTAGTAAGAGAAGGACATTATTAATCATCCTAAAATCAATCAGCGTCAGTCTCATGCATTTACATGCACGTTAAACGAATCTAAACCATAATAAGTTAATCAAACTCGTACAAAGATATGTTAACGCTGTTTTTAAAGCTCTCTTCCTCCTCTTTTTGAATTGATTCTTTTGCTCCTATCAATTTTATCCTTGGATTTTATTTTATTTTTTTAAGACAATGTATTCAGCCATTCAGGGGATTTGAATGTTGGTCGCAACGTGAAAAACATATCGAATCTATATCACAAAAGAAAAAAGAAAAAAATTTGAGGAGACTTTTAGCTTGTTGGTCAATTTTTTTTACGTTTTAAAGCTTGGCTACAGATTGAAATATAATAAGGATGTTAAACTTTGATTATGTTATGAAGCTAACAGTTCATCAGGATCCGTGGCGCAATGGTAGCGCGTCTGACTCCAGATCAGAAGGTTGCGTGTTCGATTCACGTCGGGTTCAAAAATCCCGAAAATTTGATCCTTAATTTTTTTGCGTATTTACAAACCCACCCCATTGTTCTCTGTCTTTTCTGAATAAAGCCCTCATTTTTCATTGTCATATATGTAAAAACCTTATCCTAAATTAAAGGACTAGGAAGAAAACTCCCCTTTTCTCTCTCAGTACCAGAAAATGGCGGTAGACTCCTTACTGACATCTCCTTCGTCGCTGAGATTCTCCGATTTCATCTCTTCCTTTTCCCAAAACACCAACCAAAAATGGCTTCGCTTCTCACCCAAACCCAGCTCCTTGAAGATAACCTGCGGTGCGATTTCTTCGAAGAGGAAACTCGCTGAGAGAGAGAGCGCGGAGAGGGAGAACAGAGTCCTCGTACGGAATCTAATGTCGAGGATCAGCGACAGAGAGCCGCTTATCAAGACGCTTGACAAGTACGTGAAGGTTGTAAGATGTGAGCATTGCTTCTTGCTCTTCGAAGAGCTTGGTAAGAGCGACAAGTGGCTCCAATGCCTCGAGGTTTTTACCTCTCTCCTTGTCATGAATTTGAGTGTTTTAGCTTATGGGTTTGCTTAATACTTGAGTTTCAGCTCTGGGTCTTATAAAAGGATTAGTCTTTCTTCGACCCAAAAAAAAAGGATTAGACTTTAAACTTTTTCTTAGCTCAATGTGGTGTTTTAGCTTACTGTGTTTCTTCTGTAGGTGTTTAGGTGGATGCAGAAACAGCGCTGGTATATAGCAGATAATGGAGTATACTCTAAATTGATCTCTGTAATGGGGAAGAAGGGACAAACCCGAATGGCAATGTGGCTCTTCTCCGAGATGAAGAACAGTGGCTGTCGTCCTGATGCTTCGGTTTACAACGCTCTCATAACGGCTCATCTTCATACACGGGACAAGGCAAAGGCTCTGGAGAAAGTCCGTGGTTACTTCGACAAAATGAAAGGCATGGAGCGTTGTCAACCCAACGTTGTGACTTATAATATTCTGCTAAGGGCTTTTGCTCAATCGGGTAAAGTTGAACAAGTGAAAGCTCTGTTTAAAGACTTGGATATGAGTGCAGTGTCTCCAGACGTTTATACATTTAATGGTGTGATGGATGCGTATGGGAAAAACGGGATGATCAAGGAGATGGAATCTGTGCTTACTCGTATGAGGAGTAACGAGTGCAAGCCAGATATCATCACTTTTAATCTTCTTATTGATTCTTATGGTAAGAAGCAGGAGTTTGAGAAGATGGAGCAGACTTTCAAGAGTTTGATAAGGTCCAAGGAGAAGCCCACTCTTCCTACTTTCAACTCAATGATTATAAATTATGGGAAAGCTCGCCTGAGAGATAAGGCTGAATGGGTTTTCGAGAAGATGATTGATATGAACTACACGCCGAGTTTTATCACTTATGAGTGCATGATCATGATGTATGGTTACTGTGGTTGTGTTTCCAGAGCAAGGGAAATGTTTGAGGAGGTTGCTGAATCGGAGAGGGTGTTGAAGGCATCAACACTCAATGCCATGCTTGATGTTTACTGTCTTAATGGTCTACACATGGAAGCAGATAAGCTTTTCCATAACGCGAGCGATTTTCGGGTTCATCCAGATTCATCAACGTATAAGCTTTTATATAAGGCGTATACTAAGGCAGATATGAAGGAGCATGTGCAGATGCTGATGAAGAAAATGGAGAAAGATGGAATTGTACCTAATAAGAGATTCTTCTTGGAAGCACTTGAAGCTTTTGGGTCAAGATTACCTGGTTCGGATTCTGTGAAAAGGAAATCAACTGAATCGACCAAGTCAGGAGATGACTTGGTGGAAAGCAATTGACTGGATTTCAAGACAAAGATGTGGAACTGAATAAATGCTTTGCCGAATATGAATCTATTTGCATACGCTCCAATGAGTTATCCAGTCATCCCCTTGAATCTGAGTGTACACATGGTGACTGTAGGTATGACAACTAGAGTTCCAGTTTCTGTTGATTTCTGTAGGCTTTACTAATCTACATTACTTCATATGATTGAAGAACAAGCATGTTTGGAACATGACATTTTAGTCTTGTTAAGAAAGGGAGACTACAGAAAGAAGTGTTTAGAAAGCCAAGTTACGAACTTGAGTGAAGTGGGCATGATCAAGTCTCCAGAGCTGAAGCAAGAAAGCCAAGTTAAGAATATTAACAGACACTATTTTCTTCAGTTCAAGAACATATAAAATTGAGAAGATCAAAGAGAAGAAGGATATGTTCATTATATCGCCTTGTAATCTTTTTTGGTAAAATGTAACCAAAAAGCTTCATTGTTGTGTGTTATTTCATAGAGTAAAATTACCATAGCACGTAGGGAAAAAAGAACAGACAGCATGTATCTCGTTCTTGCACATTTAAATAGCATAGATACGTACACGAATACACCATCACAGTTGCAAACAACATCAGCTGAGACTACAAGGATCTAAAAATGTGTCTGTATCAACTGTTTTCCTCTGCAAAATTAATTATTCCACATAAGACAAATATCTTGGTTGCATATCCTAGGAGCAAGCAAAGTTTTTTAGAATGAGTGTGATCTAGTAACAAACCATTTCTAGCTCCAATGTTTTGATCTTCTTCATAGAACCCCAAAGGAGAGCCATGCACAGAGAGCATCATCTCTCCAGGTTTTGGTTGCCTCCGAGTCATTGGTGTCATTCGAAAAGAGAGCCTTTGCCCATTTACCTGCAAAGTTTACAAATGAAATGTCATTCTGCAACAGAGAATGAAAATGAAAATCCCCAAAACATAAACTGATTCATTTCTCTCTGGATATAAGTACAAACAAAGAATCGAGGAGAAAACACTCCAACGAACCAAACTAAGAACCCTGCTAATGTGATCACAGTTTTCAACAGAGAATAAAAAGGGAGTACAAATCATGAATACATATGCCTCAGGAGTCCGAAGAGCATCATAGCTTACAAGCATTCGGTTCTCGGATGTCCTTAAAAAGACCTAACAAGTAACAACCAAGGGGACAAAAATAGCAGATAAGAAGCTATACTAACTGTCCTGAAGCAATTTAGCATTATTCTAAAAGGCAAAAGAACTGCACAAGATCCATATCACAATTTAGTGTGAATAAACATTACTAAAACAAGTAAATGGTTACGACTGAGTTTGGCTTAAGCCTGCAATATTGACAAATCCAGCATTGGGTTTTCTTCACTCATATAAAGCTTGTCCTATAACCCCTTGTACTAGGAGGCAGAAGATAAGAGATATAAACTTACAAGATTCCGGAGGTGTGTGTTATCAGTTCCTAACAGGGTTGATCTCACTGCCACCAAAGACAAAAGTATAAATCTTTGAATACCAAAAAATAAAGGATCAAGCTCATGGACAAGCGCTTTAGAATAGAATAATTGAAGTCAGCACCACATTTGTCATTCCACTTAAACAAAATCTCTCCGTTTTCTTCATGGAAAGAGATAGCAGGAAGGTTCTCTTTAAAGAACTCTAACACAGGTTTCTGCAGCTGTTCCTCGGCGTAATATGAGCAGAGTAACCTCAATGCAGTTAAGCTCTGTTCGATCTCAACATCACGGATTGCCTTAATTGCAGCAATTTGTCTTTCAGCTACCCACAACAACAAAACAAAAATCTCAGATCCAAAGATCATCAAAATCCTAAATTCTCCAATTCCTCGATCACAATTTTGTAATAGTAAATTTTTGTACCTTCTTGGTCATCTTCTCTTTGGATCCCTTCGTCTCTGTTCTCTTCTTCAGTGAGTTTGACAATTTGTTTTGCTTTCCGCCTCGGAGGCATTATCGACACTTCTAATCTGCTCTCCAGAGTCTCAAACCCTACAAGTCAAGAAAGATTAAGATAAATCCCCAAAAATCAGAGTTTGAATAGACATTAAATGAGCGGGAGCATTAGGTTTAAATGAAATTAAAACAAACAAGCTTGATAGTTAGTTAGTAGACAGACTTGCAATTATGTTTATTACCCCAGCTGAAATAAGGCCTATGAGCCCATTAGTATTGTAATCATCAAATAGCATTTTCGAAAAGGCCGTTATGTCCCCTTAAAGGCCCATACATTCAGTTTTATACTATAAGAAGAGGTCGTTATGACGACGATTTTTCTCTAAAATAAACTGTATATGATTAGTTTTTTTTTTTTTTAATTCACACTATAAAGGACAAGCCTGATGAAGACAAGCACTTGGTTTTATGACCAACCAATAATTTCTCATTTTAAAAAGCTATCACGACCTTTCACGGCTTTGTTTACTTGAAATTATATTATATATCGTAAAGTCTGTTTTTGTTGTTTGTTAGAGTAAATAACGTGTATAAATTTATCAAATGACTAGCTTGGATTCAGATCTTACTGTGACTATTTTTTCTATTCATAAATCCGCACCACGTATAAACTACAGCCATGTGGAGTGTTGGACCAGCTTTACTTTATTACAAGTTGAATAAAATAGACTTCGTCATTAAAAATACTTTATAAACGTGAGATGCAAAAAATAGAAACTTTTTTTAAAAGACTTGGCGACTTTTGAGAAGTGGATATAAAGAAGAGAACTCAAATGAGACTTTCAGTAATGAGATAACTACTATATGTTAGGATAAGTCCTGTTTAACTTAGAGATAATGATGTAACTAGTCCTTATCCTAACCTCTTTAGGAGGTTCTACGTTGTATAAATATAGGCTATTGGACTCAAGGAATAAACAACTAAAATACGATTCTTTTACATTCTAAAGTGATTTCATAATGAGATAACTACTATATGTTAGGATAAGTCCTGTTTAACTTAGAGATAATGATGTAACTAGTCCTTATCCTAACCTCTTTAGGAGGTTCTACGTTGTATAAATATAGGCTATTGGCCTCAAGGAATAAACAATTAAAATACGATTCTTTTACATTCTAAAGTGATTTCATGGTATCAGAGCAAAAGATCTGAATTTTTTTCTCTACACTTTGTTTCTTGATATCCAAGAAACATGGCAGAAACAACTTCAGCTATGTCATCTACGACTGCACCTATGGCTACTACATCTACTACTATTGATTCTACCAGCATCTACTATCTACACCCTTCTGACAACCCTGGTGCGCTTATTACTTCTGTCTCACTTCGCGGCGACAACTATACGGAGTGGGCTACAGAGTTATCGAATTCTATACAAGCAAAGCGGAAACTAGGGTTTATTCAGGGAATAATTCTGAAACCTACAGAAGAACCAGATCTATCTCGTTGGCTAGCTACAAATTCGATGCTTGTTGGCTGGATTAGGACTTCTATAGATCCTAAAATCAGATCAACTGTCACTTTTGTACCTGATGCACATAAACTCTGGGAAAACCTCAAACGCCGATTCTCTGTTACTAACGGTGTCAGGACACATCAACTAAGAGATGCTATTAGTAACTGCAAGCAGAATGGTCAAACGGTCATTGATTACTATGGACGTCTGACTAAATTATGGGAAGAACTTGACAATATCAAAACAACTAGACCATGTCTTTGTGAAGCTGCAACTGATATTGAGAAAGAAAGAGAAGAAATCCGTGTGCACAAATTCCTGTTTGGGCTCGATGAATCTCGCTTCCGCAACATTCGCTCGCAAATCATCGATGAAGATCCATTGCCTAATATTGATAATGTGTATTCTCGGGTGATTCGAGAGGAACAACACAACAACACGGCACAATCAACAGAACTCAAAACAGAGGCTATAGGATTCTCGGTTCAGACTGATACGCCCACCGACTCCAAGCAATCTCAACAATCCTCAACTATTACAACTCGGTTTCGTGATCCAAACCGAACATGTACGCATTGCTCTCGGAAAGGCCATGATAATACTGAGTGCTTTCTACTCCATGGATATCCAGAATGGTGGTACGAGCAGCAAAAGACAAATACAGGAGGATCTAATCAACGTGGAGGCCGTGGTGGTCGATCTTCATACTCATCAAACAGAGGACGAGGTCGCTCTAACTCCAACAGAGTGATCTCCAACAATACAACTACTACACAATCTCAACCATCTCTCAACAACAATCAAATCTCCCAACTCATTCAGCTCCTCCAAACGTCTCGTTCAAACATCTCTACAGAGAGATTGTCGGGTAAAACACAGTTCAATGATGTCATTATCGATACAGGCGCTTCTCACCACATGACAGGGAACTTGTCTCTTTTGAGTAACATCACTGACATCGTTCCTTCTTCTGTCCGATTTCCGGATGGTCGTCTATCTAGTGCTACTAAAAAGGGCACTCTTGTGCTTAGTCGCGACTATTACTTGCAAGATGTTCTTTATGTTCCTGAGTTTAATTGTACCCTGATATCTGTGTCAAGATTGCTCAAGCAGACAGGATGTATAGCCATCTTTACTGATACTCTTTGTGTCTTGCAGGACCGTTTTACGAAGACCCTGATTGGAACGGGTGAAGAGCGTGAGGGGGTTTATTATTTTACGGGAGTCACTGCAGCACGTGTTCATCAAACTGAGTACAAGAATGCTTCTACATCAGAACTGTGGCACAGGCGGCTAGGACACCCATCTTTTCGTGTGTTATCATCCTTTCAGCCACTCTCTCTAGCCTGCCAAGAACGACAACTTCTAAGAAAGCGACGTCTCGTTGAATTGTAAGTTTTTTTTATTCTTTCTAGTTCCAAACACCAAAAAAAAAAATCGTCAACGACTGTTTCATTTGCTAGTCTGGTTTGTTTTGCTCTAGCCATTCGTATTTTCTCACCTAGTTAAAAAAGCTTCTTCAACGTTTCATATACAGTCTGAAGTTACTGATTGGACCATGGTTTCACATTTTCTGATTTTTACATGCATATTCAGAACTTGGGCTTGGTAAATTATTGAATGGCTTTAAGCTCAAAACACAAGAAATTCAAGTCTCGTTTTTTGAGCTTCGTTCTATGGTCAACACCTTGATTAAGATATAAAGTCTTTGTTGGGTTTAGAGCTATTGAGTATACGCGTGAGGGCTAATTTAACTTTTCAATATTTGACTACTTTATTTTCAATTTCCGAACAGATCGAACTATTCTTCGAATTTATAATTACACGATCATTTTCAACGTTAAAGATCATCTGTGATTAATCTTTTGTCTGAACTGATTCTCTATCAATCGCAGCAATGTCGCTGGTTCGAACAGCGACGATCGCTCTTCTTCTAATCGTTTTTCTGCAAAACGCTGAGGCTCAGAAAAGACCGCAACAAAGTATTGTCAAGGCTCGCGGTGCGGTTGCAACTGACGATGGAAGGTGTTCTGTAATAGGGATGAGTATTCTTCGCCAAGGAGGAAACGCTATTGATGCGTCCGTGGCCGCTGCTCTTTGTTTGGGCGTTGTGAGTCCAGCCTCTAGCGGTATAGGAGGTGGAGCGTTTACAGTGGTCAAGATAGCTGGCGGGAAGGCTATTGCTTATGATTCTAGAGAAACTGCTCCTCTCCGCGCCACTGAGGTAACAGCGTTTTAGTTATATGCGTTTTGAAAAATGAGGTTGCTGTTGGTGTAGAACATTAATGTAGGTAATAGCGTCTCTGAGCTTTCTTAAATCGTTATTTTGAACGCGCCTTTGAGCTCAAATAGCGTTTTGTAACATATTTTTTTCTTAGATAAGTCTTTTAATGTGATGTTCAGCCTAATACAGTAGTTGACTTTTTTACTAATAAACATGTAGCGTTTCTTAAAATCTCCTCCTCTTTAATAAGCGTTTTGTACGCCAATTTTAGCTTAACTAGCGTTATTATGTATAAATTGTATGCAGGTAGTAGCGTTTCTTAACATTTCTTTCCTTAGATTAAATATGCCAGTAAACGCTCTCTTGAACTTAGAAATCGTTTACTTTAACGTTTATGAATCATAGACAGTCTTGGTTATATTGAATAATGCCATAGGGTTTCTTATCGTTTCTTCACTTTCTCGTTTTTGGTTATTAAGGTAAGATTTTCGTTGACGTTTTTGAATTATAGACATTTATTTTGGTTGGTTTTTGGTTTTAATGTAGGATATGTATGGAGCTAATCCTGATCTAAAGAAGAAAGGAGCCTTATCAGCAGGCGTTCCTGGGGAAGTCGCAGGACTATTCACAGCTTGGAAACAACACGGAAAGCTCCCATGGAAGCAGTTAGTGACTCCTGCACAGAAACTCGCAGAAGGATTCAGGATTTCAAAGTATCTCTACATGCAGATGAACGCCACAAAAACCGATCTCTTAGCAGACAAAGGTCTCTCCGAGATTTTTGTTTTAAATGGAGAGCTCAAGAAACCAGGAACGATTATACATAACAGAAAATTGGCCTTCACACTCAAGCAAATCGCTGAATATGGTCCAAAAGCGTTTTACAATGGCACCGTTGGGATTAACCTAGCTAGAGATATTCGTAAAGCTGGAGGGATAATAACTTTGAAAGATCTGCAAAGTTATAGAGTTAGGGTTACAAAACCGTTGTCCTCAAACATTCTTGGATACGAACTACTCGGTATGCCTCCTCCTTCATCTGGTGGCGCTGCAATGATGCTTGTAAGTCCAATTTTTTATACCAAAATTGTCACATTTTATCAAAACATTTTTTACAGAGTTTCTTGTAATGCAGGTTTTGAATATTCTTTCTCAATACGGGATTCCTTCAGGTGTTTCTGGCTCTCTCGGTGTTCATCGACTTATTGAAGCTCTGAAACATGCTTTCGCCGTTAGAATGAACCTTGGTGATCCAGATTTTGTCGATGTTTCCAAGGTTGTTTCGGATATGTTGTCTCCAGAGTTTGCAAAAGACTTGAAGAAGAAGATAAACGATGATAAAACCTTTGACC